CGGCGAGAAGAAGCTCGCCCATCTCGCTCCAGCGCTCGTAGACGGCGATCTGCTCGCGGCGCGGCGCGGCGTCGCTCATCCGCAGACCCGCGAGCGTCCAGGGCCGCCCGACGCCGGGCTGGCCCTCGAGGAACACGATCTTCGGTGGTGGCGCGATCCCGAACGCCCGATCCATGAGGCAGAGGTATTCGCGCGCCGCATAGCTCAAGGCCTGGGCGCGGTAACAAGGGTGCGACGCGAGGAAACGCCGCGAGCGGAGGTACGCGCGGGCGGCGGGCACGTGGAGGCCGTGGACGCAGCGCTCGAACTGAATCCTCCAGAAATCGGCGTCGCGGTCTTTGAAGCACCACCCGTTTCTTCTGAATGGCGCCCGCCGCGCGGCGAGAACGGTCGCCACGAAGCGGCCGAGCGCCTCCTCGTCCGTCGTGAATGGGCCGTCGTGAACGAGGGCGTCGTCTACGGCGGCTAGGCCGTCCGCGCCGCCGACCTCGCACGCCTGGCACGCGTCGTCGTAGCGGAGATCGGCCACCGCGTCATCCAGGCGGCCGCGCTCGTCCCACGTCGGCACCGCGCGCGCGAGCCGCAGGTACGTCGCGCGCCAGCACGTCTCCAAGCGGTCGCCGTTCCAGAGCATCGCCGGCCGCGCGACGGCGAGCGTGCGCGACTCCGACGACGCGCACCAGGGGAAGCGGCGCTCGAACTCGCGCTTCCAGCGCAGCGTGTCCGTCGTCTTGTCCGTCGCTGCGCAGCCCCAGGGACCAGGGACCGGCTCACGCAAGCGAAGGCGCAGTAGGCGGCAAGATCCACGGCCTCGTCCCAGAGCACGTAACGCCACGGCTCCTCATTCGTTATGGGCGTTCGCGGCGGCGTGAATCGCATGCTTTTGGAGGCGCTCATGTTTGAACGCAGCCCCGTTGTTCAGAGCGCGTTGTTGACGTTCGAGGCCCGAGGTGCCGCGCGAGAGCCTCTCGATCGCGATATCGCAAGACCATGGTCGCGCTGAAACTCTGCCTGCTGTTGGCGTCGCTGCCATGGGCGCAGGGCTTCGCGCCGCGCGCGAGCGTCGCCACGCGGCAGCACATCATCACGCACACGGCGAAGTCGGCAGTCGAGCCCGTCGGCCCGCAGATCTTCGACTCGCTGGCCCAGTTCGCGCGGCACAGCGGCAAGTGTGTCGTCGTCAAGTACGGCGGCCACGCCATGAGCGATGAGCGCGCGGCCGAGTGTTTCGCCGAGGACATCGTCTTGATGCAGAAGCTTGGCCTGCGCCCCGTCGTCGTCCACGGCGGCGGCCCGCAGATCGGGAACATGTTGAAACAGTTAAACACGACGTCGACGTTCATCGACGGCCTGCGCGTGACCGACGCGGCGACGGTCAAGATCTCGGAGATGGTGCTCTGCGGGAGCATCAACAAGCAGATCTCCGCGGCGATCAGCCGTCTCGGGGGCCGCGCGGTCGGCTTGTCGGGCAAAGACGATAACTTGATCGTCGCGGAGAAGCTCGTCAAGGAGCGCATCGGCGAGGACGGCCACACGGAGATCGTCGATCTTGGGTTTGTCGGCGAGCCGACGTCGGTGAACTCAAAATTGCTGCAAAGCTTGTTGGACAATGGCATAATCCCGGTCATCGCTCCGATCGCCACCGGCGCGGGCGGCGCGACGTACTCCGTCAACGCGGACACGGCGGCCGGGGCCGTCGCCGAGGCGTTGAAAGCATCGCGCCTCCTGCTCTTGACGGACGTCACGGGCGTCCTCGACGAGAACATGAAGCTGATCAGCTCGATCACGCCGACGTCCGCGAACGAGCTCATCAAATCCGGGGTCATCAAGGGCGGCATGATCCCCAAGGTGCAGACGGCGCTCCAGGCCGTCGAAGGCGGCGTCGAAGGCGCCGCCATCGTCGACGGCCGCGTGGACCACTCGGTCCTCAAGGAGCTCTTCTCCGTCTCCGGCGCGGGCACGCTCGTCACGTGTGACGAGGCCGAGTTCTGCTAGGAGATCGAGCGGGCGTTAACTACGATATAGGCGATTTCCGCCACCGCCGCCGGGGCGGCCTTTAGCGCCCCTCCTCCGTCTCCGGCGGCGTGGACTTGGAGTCCTCGCGCGACGGGTCGAGGCGGCGGTCGTTCTCGTGCTTGAGGGAGGCCATCTCGGACTGGAGGGCCGAGACCATGGCGAGCATGCGCTGGACGTCGCCCTCGCGGGCCTTGTCCTTCTCGATGAGCTCGGAGACGCGCGTCTCGACCTCGCGGCGCGGCTTTGGCGACGACGTGAGCTCGGGCGACCGCGTGACGCGCGACGCGCCGGGCGACGCCGGCGACCGCGGCGGCCGCAGGCCCCGCATGTCGCTGGGGCTCCGCGGCGGCGTCGCGCCGGGCGCGCGGAACGGGTTGCCCTTGGGCTGGAACTCGCCGCGCTTGGGCTTGAAGCTCGACTCGAGGTCCCGGAGGCTCCGGGGCCGCTGGGGGTCCTCCTCGACGCGGCGCGCCGCGGCGAGGTCCTCGCCGGCCGTCGCGCCGCCCCACTTGGTGCCGCGGTACGCGTCGCCCGACGCCGGCGTGCCCGGCGTCGGCGACCGCGGCGTCGGCGTCGTCGGCGGCGCGCGCTCGAGGTCGCCGACGCGCTTCGCGAGGGCCGCCTCGCGGCGCGTCGCCGCGTCGACGTCGGCGCGGAGCTCGACCTCGCGCGCCGCGGCCTCGGAGAGCTGGAACCGCAGCGCGGCCTCGCGCGCGTCGAAGGCCGCCTTCTGGGTCTCGATCTGCGCGAGGAGCGCGCGCTCGCGCGCGCGGAAGGCGTCGACGGCCTCCCTTAAATTCGACGTCTCCTCCTTCTTCTTCGACGACCGCCGCGCCATGGAGAAGGGCGTCGCCCAGCCGCTCGCCTCGCCGGACGCGCGGCGGCCCGACGGCGGCGACAGCGCGGCCGCCGCGGCCGCCGCGCGGTCCCGCGCCTCCGGGTCGACGAAGGTCGCGGCGCCGTCGTCGGGCATGCAGGGGCCGTCGCTCGGCATGGCCCAGCCCTCCGCGGCGCTCGGCGAGCTCTTCGGGGCGCTCCGGCTCATGGTCGGGGCAGCCCAGCCCTCGACGACCACGGGCGCGGGCTGCCGCTTCGGCACGACGATGGCCCCGGGCCGCGGCCGCCGCGGCGGTGACGCCGGCGCGTCGCCCATGGCTGCGCGCCGCGGCTACCACTACCACGGCGCGACCATGGCCACGAAGTCGTCTATCGGCCGTCTTCGGACTCGTCTTTCCTCGGCGGCAACGTCGACATGAAACGGACCTTCGCGGGAAGCAAGCCTCGACGGGCCCCTGCGCGACGGTCCGGCCCCGGGACGGGGGGCGGGGACGGCGGGCACGGGGGTTCCGGCACGGTAAATGCGCTCAGGGCACGCGGCCCGGCACGGGCCCGGCACGCGGCACGGCACTCGGCACGGGCCCCCGGGCACGCCGGCGGCGGGCCGGGCACGGGCCACGCGGCCCGGCACGGGCCCGGCACTCGGCACGGGCCCCGGGCACGGGCCGGGCACGGGCCGGGGAGGCCCGGCACGGGCCCGGCACGGGGCCCCGGGCACGGCCCGGGCACGGGCCGGGGACGTGGCCGGGGACCGCGGCACGCACCGTCGCGCAGGGGCCCCTGCCTCGTGCAAGCGCGCCGCGATGGACCCCTGTTTAGGTGTCGCCCTTCTCCAGATGGGCCGCCTCGGCGAACTCGAGCGCCTCGGTCTCCGCCAGGGCGGCCGCGGGCGTCGCGAAGTGGTCGCGCGTAGGGCCCGCGAGGGCCGCGTGCTTCTCGCGCGCCTTGGCGTGCGCGTACTCGGCGACGCTCCGGACGACGTGGTCCTCCGTGGGCTCGAAGACCGTGTAGCGCAGCGCCCCGGACTCGTTGCCGACCCGGTAGAGCCCCCAGGCCTTCCAGATCTCGAGGAGCCGCGCCGCGGCCGCCGCGTCGGCGCAGCGCGCGGTCTCGAGGGTCGCGCAGAGCGCCTCGGCGGAGCCGGCGCCGTGCTTCTCGCAGTGGAACGCGGCGCCCTCCTGGAGGGTCGCCGCGGCGTCCGGCCCCGCGGCGTCGGCGTCGGCCCGCTGCTCGAGCGAGTAGCTCGCGTTCGCGGCGGCGCCCAGGACGGACGCGCGGAGCGCGAGTTCGTCGCTCTCGAGCGTCGCCTTCGCGCGGTCCCGGGCGGCAGCGGCGTCCGCCGCGGCCGCGGCCGCGTCCGCGGCCTCGCGGCGGCACAGGCGGCCGCGGACGCGCGCCATCTGCAGGCCCGCGGCCGACACGCCCGGCGTCGCGCCGGGCCCCAGGTGCCAGTAGACGGACACGATCTTCCCCGCGCCGTCGACGCCGAGCGTGAGCTGCGCCGGGAGCTCGTCCGCGCCGCCGAAGAGCTCGGAGACGGGCGCCTGCGGGTACGGCGGCGGCCGGCCGCAGGGCGCGAGCCAGTTCGGCAGGGTCGCGTCGATCTTCAGCGTGAGGTCGACGACGGCGTCGGCGCCCATGACGCCCGACACGGGCCGCGCGACGCCGTC